GCCTGTTCGCACACACCCAATTGCCAATGAGCATCAGCAGGGATCAGATCCAAATATATACTGTTCCGGTCGCAGTAATCTTCTACCTGTTTGCTTCGAAACGCCCCTGCGGGATCCAATCGAAGCACATCGGGTCTACCGAAAATCTGATTCCAACCCTCTCTCAAATACTCGAGACACGTAGCGGCGGTAGGTTGTTGTTTACTACCACGGCTGAGGATCTTAGCCACCCGGAACCTAGACCCTTCATCGATCACAATCATGAACTGCACATGTTCCCCCGTTCTCGGATGAACCCAGTGACCAATATCGGCCGAAATAGTGTGCCACCGGGGTGGGAGAACTTCCAGAGAGGCCAAATTCCTAGGAGGGGGTCGCTTCCTTTCTTGGCAAGCCGAACACTGAAATCGCTGAGCAACCTCAAGAACCTTGGCCGACACACCCCGTCTCTTTAAGGCATCCAGCATAGTACGAACACTCCCATGCCCTGTAGCCGAGTGCAGGAGGTGGAGCTGTTTCATGATTCGGGCTTCTTCCTGTTTGGCACTAGAGGACGTTGCCGCGTAACTTTGAAACTTCTCTTTGGGCTGAGGCTCCAGGTGCTTGGGCTTGGGGGGCAAGTTAAAACCTAACTGCTTGGCTTGAGCTCTCTCTTCGGTACTCAAGTGATGCGCTCCCCTGGACACGTACGCCGTAATCACAAATCTCTCCCCTTTCCATTTCTGAGACTCATGCCACAGCTTGGGAGAGAACCTAACCACTTGACCCTTCAGCTCATGGACCTGGCCTTCGCACCACTCACCGCTTGGAAGTTGTCGTCGTAGTCGCTGGCCCGTCACCGGACCGTCCACCGAGTTTTGAACCCACAGACCCCCATGTTGGAAATCGCCTACACCTATGCAGTGGTTGTCATACATCGCATCGTTGTTCACATCTCGGTGCATGGGCAACAGATTGTTCAAGCTGATAGTGATAGACGACCGACAAAAGGGGCCTCCGGACCAGTTTTCCATGAAGGCATTCAAGTATCGGGACAACCAGTTGAAACGCCTACTGTGCTGCGTCATGCCGTAGTGACTCCCGTAGGCGTACACACCCAAGGTCACATACACTACCCTTTGATCCCCAAGCATGCGGCGGTGTTTGTTGATGGGCCTCAAGGGTAACTCCCGTAACAAGGATTCACAGGATTGCAGGTCAAAGGACTTAGTGCTCATCAGCTTCTGGGCTTGGGCCTCCGTTTGAAAGATCTCTTCATCCGTCATGAAAGCCTCACATTCTTCCAAAGACACCTCAGCCTCGCCTTCCACTGGCCTAGGAACCGACGTTTCCGAAGCCCCTTGGGAACACAATCCACACTGAAGTTCAGCGTTACAAGTCCTAACTTCCGAACAGACACAACACAAGCCTTCTCCGAATCCCTCCGAAAGCCTACTTTGACCCCTACACTCCTCGTGAAGCTGTCCTGTGTCCAACTCTCGAGTCATCACTTCGGCCACGCGCTTACAGAATTCAGGGGTGACGCCTGCCTTCTTGGGATGCTTGGAACCCTTAAGATCTCCATGCTGATACTCAGTAGCACACCTACAGGGAAGGTTCATGCGCTCGGCAAGGCGGGGGCAAGTGGTGGCAAGCTTCCATCCATTTTTGATCAACAACCCTTCGTCCGAAGTCCTCAAATTCACCCTGCACCCTTTAGTCACCACAACCTGAAGCTCACCCCTTTTCAACATCCGTTGGATAATCGGGAGTCTCCATCCATTACTGTGTTCAGGCCATTGCCAAGTACAGTGCACTCCAAGTTGGCGACACGCATGCATGACAGCGATAGCTCCTAAATACTCCTTGGTGGCTTGGTTCCGTTTTTCCTTGAGCTCAGCTTGCTGTTCAGGACTGCTCTGGTTCATGCGTTGCAGGGGGGAGAAAGCTTCGCTCGAGGGGCTTAACCACACATGCCTGGGCCGTTCAAGCTTGATACGATTCAGAACTAAGGCTACCCCCTCTGAATTTCCCAGGTCACACTTGTCATGCTTTCCACACTGACTGGCCGCATCGGTTCGCCCTGTCATGCTTTGCACTGTAGCAGTCAGGAGGCTCGAAGAAGAAGAATTGACTACTTCCAAAAGAACCTTCCGGCCTTCAACCACCAAACCCTCAAAAATCTGAGGCACAACCTCGGAACCCCACTGCTCAAGCTGCCGTGCCTGTCCTAAGCTCAGCTGTTGACTTAGCTGCTCGGATGCACTCATAGATCGGGTGGAGTCCTCTGCCTCGTCATCGGGGTCCTCTACATCGAACCCGCCAAGGAGAAACTCGTCGTTGACTCCCCGTCCTCGCCGACTGGCTTCTTGCGAGGTCGTTCCCCCTTCAGGGTGGCCATCTCCTCCTTGAGGTGCTCGATTGTCTGGACCAAATTGGCCAGGACATCTGTGCCGACCGTCACCGTGTTGGGGTCCTCGGCTTCCATGGAACCCGAGCTTGTTGCTTTGCTCGCCGCCTTGGCTTTGGCCGCCACTGCGTCGGGCATTGCTCCCCGGGGCGTGGTGGGCTCGTTCGGGTAGCCGACAATCTCCGTCTTGTCCTTCATCTGGCCCATGGTCAGGAACTCCTCCTGTGCACGCTTCACAACGACCGGGTCGTTGGACAGCCATCCTGCCAACCTGCGTAGTCGGGGATTGCACTGCCCTTCCTGAGCAGTTTGGACCACCCATGCACTGTATTGCGGGTGCTCGGCTTTGACCGTGGCGTAGGTCAACTGACTGTGGCGTCCAAAACCTACCAAGTCGGATGGGTCCGGATTGGCCTTGCCGTAGATCACCGAGAGGGCCTCCTTCTGCAGCTGGGCGATCGTCAAGTTGAGGTTGACCTCCATGTTCAAGGTCTTCCGGCAGTAGGTCTGCAACGAAGCTTTGCGGGTCGCTGCCTGGTTCAAGGCGGTCACGTACATCTGGTACTCGGACTTCTCCTTCTTCTGTGGCTTTGTGTAGTCCACCCCGGTCACCTCTTCCACTCGCTGAAGGAGTTCCACCTTGGACCATCGCCGGGGCGCGGTCTCGCCGTGCTCGCTCAACATCTCGCGCAGCTGTCCTGCTGTCTTGGGCGCCATGGCTACACACGAGTGGACCACAAGGCCCTTCCACGTCTCTTGATCTTGGGATCGGCTGCTGGCATCCATGAACATGTAATTCACGAAGTGCTGCATCGCTGCGTGCCCGACTGTCGCTTGGAACTGGCTCTTCAGAGACATGACCCCTACTCTGCTGGTTAAAAACGACACACTCTGGCTCAGGATCACACCTATTCTCATGAATGGCAAGACATTTCGTACTCCCATTCTGAAACCCCTGTCCTGTAACTAGCTCACCTACCTCCCGTTTCTCGACAGGACACAAGTCGGGGAGGAGCTGTCCCTACTCATCGGCAGGGTTTCGCAAAAACCACTCAAGGCCTGGGACTTTCTGTGCAGCATCCTTGGCCTTGGCCAGCAAATCCTCAGACAGAGGCACTACCAAATGACCCGTGGCGGTCTGCTCTAACGGAAGAATCTTTGCATCATCGATGGCTCTAAGGACTACCATCTTGGCCTGGAAGTCGATGAGTGCGCCCAACATGCCCAAAGACTCTATGCTCAAGAGGATTGGCCCGGTACCTTGGTCCAAGGCGTGAATCTGAACTGCACCGGCGCGCTTGCCTGCTGAGATCCCCATCTTCACCGTCGAGGCACACTGGTTCATAGAAGAGTTCCCGAAGCTGAAGACAGGCCGATTGGTTGTATCCACCGAGACAACCCCTGGGGTGCCCCGTGACCGGATGTTCATCTCCATCAGGCGTTCCAGAGCATATACGGAACCGATGCTCCGTGTAGCCCCGCAGTCCAAGATAGCTTTCCCCTGAGCCACTGCTTCTGAGGTGGATATGCCGGTGACCATGGCGGACTCCTGCTCGGGAATCGCGTCCTCCAAGTAGCCGATGAATGCTGTCGCCTCCTCGGTGGCCTTCTGCTCCTCCAAGACGACGTGGGCCTCCAAGGGATCCGCCTGGACCATGGTGGACTCCTCCGGAATCGCGTTCTCCACGTAGCAGATGAAAGAGGCCGTCTCCTCGGTTGCCATGTTCGCCGATGGTGCTGGCATGGGGCAGTTTGCTACCCGGTGCCCTTTCTTCTGGCATCGAAGGCATATGATTTGTGAGTCGTCTCGAGGTCTCTGGGTAGAAGATGTCCCTGAGCTGCTCGTCCTTGGCCCAACCTTGTAGTACTGCCTTGACATCTTCACGGCATGTTGTTTAGCTCGAGCATCTCGCAAGGTTCGGCGAGCGGTGCCGATTGCCGCCATGGCTTCCTGGATGTCACTCTGAGCCTCGCTCCACATAGCGAAACTATCATCATCTAGCATCTCCTGAGCTTCCATGTCATCCATGACGTCATCAGCTCCATCTTCAAGCGTCTCCTCTTCGATGGAACCCCAGTATCCATGCTGGCGTTTGTTGCCATCTCGCTTCTTCAAGTCGCTGTCGGTGAACAAGGTCCTCATGGCGTGGGCGATCGCCTCCACGCTGTAGTCTTCTCCTGTCGTCGTCATGACCAAGCCCCGTTCATTGGCGTCCAATCCAGCGTCTTGCAGCAACAGCCATCCTTGGATGAAGTTCGGAAGAAGCTCTGGCAGCTCCTCCACCGTTGTCGAGTAGCTCTTCCAGGCCTGGTTCGAGTATCCCGACGACCACTGGTCCCAGGACGATGCTCCGGACCAGCTCCACCACGCAGGGCTGCTCCACCAATGCTCTGTGGACCATGTCCATCCTGAAGCCGGGGCGGACGTGGAGTCATCTTCATCGCCTCCCGGCTCTTCACCTCCCTCTGGCGCTGAGTCCACGGAACCCCGGCGACTCCAGGTTCCCATGTAGCTGCCACGGTCACTGGCTGCCCAAGTCGCCTCGGGCCGCACTTTCCGCTCTGGCTTACCCAGTCTGGCCATGGCCTGTTGGGCACGGAGGTAGATCTCGCTCCGCCGGGCCACGTAGTCATTGACACTCTCCCCCGGCTTCCGGCGACTGTACTTAAAGAACTTGCTCAAGTGCTCCGTCACCTCGGAAATCTTGGGCCTGCCTAAGCCTTGGCGCAGCTTGTCTAGCAGCCGCTCCACACCACCGGAAAACGACAACCAGTCCGCTGGCTGTCCCGTGATGAACTTCTTAGCAGAGCCCGTCAGTTCCGCGGCGATCCGCGGAGCAACCTGCGCCCTTTTGTGCGGCGCAGTCCCTTGCTCATAAAGCCTAGCAGCTTCCACAAACTCGGAAAAACCTCCCGGGTCTCCGTCCCAAATCGGGACTCCATCCCGAGTTCTTGATTGCGTCGCTGCTCCACTTGTCATCCCTGATCGGCCTCGCGGATCAGAGCTTATTGTCCCTGGATCGTTACCACAACGAGCCTCCTCTGAGGAGGCTCCGCTACCATGCAAGTGGTGGCCGTAGGTCCCAAGTTCGGAGTCGCAGATGCCAGAAGTAGGAGAAAGACTGTGAGCAACGGCTATGGCAGCTGCTATCCTTTCTTTTCCCCAAACCCCAATGCCTCGATCACTCAAGACTGCGGAAGACCAGACTGCGTCTGAGGCAGACAAGCCTAAAAGCTTGCAGGGTTTAGGGTTTAGGGGGTTAAGGGTTTAGGGGTTTAGGATTTAGGGTTTATGGTTTAGGGCTTACGGGCTGCATTCAGAGTTTTTGTAGCAGGCGAGAGCAAAGCAAAGGCATACACGACAAGTTATATGCATGCGTGCATGCAGTAGGCATGTACATGTGTATGAAAATCAGGATGTATGTCCGTCAGTCCGTCCGTCTGCCTGTCTGCCTGTAAGTATGCATGTGTGTATGCATGTATGTGTATTTACATGCAGTATGTGTAAACATATATGTATATACACATACATACATACATACATACATACATACATACATACATACATACATACATACATACATACATACACACATACACACATACATACGTGCATGCATGCATGCATGCATACATACATACATACGTACATACATACATACATACATACATACATACATACATACACATTGCACGCATGAACACAAGTCTTTTCTGGTTGGCTTTGTTTTGCGCTTAGGTTTTTGGTAAAGGTTTAGGGCACTAATTAGGGTTGTTTTTGGTCTACAGTAAGGTTTAAGCCTTACAGAACATATGGTGGTTTTCTATGGGCTATAAGGCTTTTGAATAAGCCTTCAACTCCAAATTGATCTGCCCTCAGTTGAGAGCGTCCAGAAGACGGCACTTCCAGGGGCAAACTCAAAACCTTAAAGTCCTGAGGCTACCCTGATGCTGTTCTTAAGCTGTGAATCCAACCAGCTTTCAAGTGTCTGTGGGTAGGGTTTAAGGTTTAGGGTTTAGGGTTCAGGGGTTTAGGGTTTAGGGTTTTAGCATCAAGGGTTGCGGCTGCAGAGCTTGCGCTGTTGGTCCATTGGTACTACTCCGGCATAAAACCATCCTACTGCATGCCCCACATTCTCGTCTGAATGTCCAGGTGGGCTGACACCATGCTCTTACAAGAACTCTGTTTTCACGCACCCGAGACCTCTGTCAATATTGAACCCTAAGCCCTGAACCCCTCAAAACCCCAACAACTGTAAGCCCAAACTATATGGCCGTCAAACCCTTTGCAAAAAAACAAACTTGAACCATGCACCCAAAGGCCTAAAGCTTAAACCTTAAGGTCCAAACCCTAAACCCTAGAGCCTGAACCCCAAACCCTAAAGCCTAAATCCCTCCCTTGCGCCCTGAAGCCCACATCCAAAACCTTAAGTTGAGTACTGCCCCCGCTCTGCAACAGTCTACATTGCGGGTCATATCCAGGGCCATATACAAGTATACTATGCATACTAATTACCCTAAACCCTAAACCCGAAACGCCTAAACGATAAGCCCCTAAATCCTAAACCGGTAATTCTCCAACTGTTACAGGGTGGGGACAGTGCCAACTTTTAGCCTGGCTTCGCCAAGCCGGAGGGCCAAGAAAGCAGCCAAGACCTCATGCTAGGTTCTTAACTGAGTTTCGGTTGAGGGTTCAGGGCGTACAGGGATGAAAGGGATACAGGGGTGATTTCGGCATTGCAAAAGTTAGGGGGCTTAATAATTAATTTGGGTTTCTAAAAAGGGCATGTGGCATGATAGGGCCGTAATATTTAGAATCGGAGTTGGGGGAAACTCGGGGCACCCTGTTGGGGATATCATATTTGATTTTGGATTACCTAGTACCCTAAACCCTAAAGGACCTAGGGCCCCGACTTTCTGAAACTTCCTGATCAAACGGGGAATGGATGTAGCAAAAACAGGTGTAAACGATTTCTGTTCAGGAGAGGCCAATCCTTGATGTAGGGGCCTTGATAATGAATAGAGTTTTGGGGGTTCCTTATTATAAATGTGGTACAATATTATAATACCCCAAAACCCTATTCTAATTATCAAGGCCCCTAAACCCTAAGCCCTTGTAGTATCCCTTATAAACCCTTTCAGGAACTTTTAAGGAACCCTTTAAGAGGAAACCCCCGAACCATATTGGAATTATTTAGGCCGGTTTAAGGTGCCAGCGGTTTGGAGTTGAATGGTGAGCATAACTCAGGCTGGGCGCAACAGACTCTAGGCCAAAATTATAGATGACCTCTTGAGGACCAAACCTGATATGTAGAGATAGATATGGGATTGATTAAATTATCACGCTTGATTGCTCAGAACAAAGACAAGACTGCATCCGCGGCGGGAAGACCTGCAATTGAAGATTGGTGAGTGTAACCCCTGAAACCCATGATAAGCCGCACGCCCTAAGTGAACCCCTGCTACTTGCAAAACACCTGAACCACTCAACGCTAGATGCCTCAACCATCAAAAGCGGCAAAACTAAACCCTACATGGCTCAAGTCTCTTAACTCTCAACCTTCAAAATCCAGAAACCCTTATAGAACCTTAAAAAGCTCGCGAAGAAGTATAGTGTTCTTCAGGGTTCCTACATATAACTAAAGTAAAATTAAAGTATACCCTGACGTCTTAAACCAAACCCCCTAAACTCGACACCCAAGCCGGAAACCCCAAACCCAAAAAACGAAAGAAACAAAACCCCAAACTGTCGAACCCGCACCCATCCTCCCAGTCTCGAAAGGCAGGGTGCAGTCTGTCGCGGCTCAAAGTCTGCAGGGCGCCTCCGCTGCACTTCGACTGAAAGAGTTGCATAGTAGGGTTCCTGTGAAGAGGTTCATAGAGTTTTGAGGAGCCCTCTCTGTTTTATATCAGGGTTTATTTAAGGTTTAGGGGAGTGAGTTGTCTAGGCAGTTGAACAATGAAAACCTAAAGCCCCAAAACCCAAAACCTTCAGGCACCGCCCTTGGCGCCCTTTGATCTGGGTGCTCCTTTAATCTGGGCTGGCCTTTAAACCTTCTGAAACATATTTATACAGAAGGCCTCTTATAAACCCAAAAAAGGAAAATGAAGAATGTCCCAAAAACCAACCTAGTATTGTAGGGGTACTGTATGCTTAGGTCTCCTACCATCTACAAGTCCCCAAGAGCCCGCACGATAACCCTCGCAAGACCTTTGTAAGCAGAAATTTTGGACTCGTCTAAATAAAGCCCTACTAAAAGCCGCTGCAAAACCCTTACAACACATTCCACAGCCATCAACATATCCCTAATCTCTCAACCCTAAACAATCCCGAACCCTACTACAGAACCTAATCACTCAACCCCAAACCCCAACCCCCCAAAGCCCTGGATTGACCCCTATTCACCACATAAGCAACAAATTGGATATATAGGGATGCCCCATGTAAACCCCCTTATAAGGAAGCCCAATAAGGTAGGGATATCCTTGCACAATATGTGCGTTTATGCCCTTGTTAAACCCTAAACCCCTAACCTCTAACCCGTAAACCCCAAACCCTAAACCCCTAAACCCCTAACCCCTGAGCCCTAAACCCTAAACCCCCAGAACCCTAAAAGCCTAAACCCCTAAACCCCTAAACCCTGAACCCCTAAACCCTAAACCCCCAAACTCTGAACCCCTAAACCCTAAAACCCTAAAACCCTATAAACCCTATACCCAAACCCCCCTAAACCGTTTGGGGTCCCTAAGGGAAGGGGCCTCAGCCGCCACTCGGCTAGCGCAGCCAAGGCAATCTCGTCTGCAAAAGCGCAGGTGGCCCGCCTAGCATGGTGCGGGGTTACTGTACGGGGTTTAGGGCTTCGGGTTCAAGGTTTACGGTTTTGGATTTTTAGGATTTTTTGGGAATTAAGGTTTAGGGTTTAGGGATGCAGAGGGCCTTTCAACAGGATGTTGGCAGTTTAAAGGCTTGCTGGGGCATGGGCTTGTTGATTCAGGAAACCCCCAAGCTCAAACCGACTAAAACCTGAACAAAACCCCAAGCCCGTACTAGGGCTTTTCAACCGTTTCATGGGTTATTAGGTTCAGGATCCGGGGGATCAGGGTTTAGGAAAAGCTTTGGGTCTAGGGTTCAGGGTTTAGGAAAGGCTTCGGGGTTTTGTCGTTTGAGTTAAGTGCCTAGGATCTGGACATTCGGGTTTTGCATGGTTGGGGTTTCCAAAGTTTCTACAGCACTTGTCTTACTCTCTGTGGTCCGAAGCGCAACCTCTGCGACCGGGTGCCATCATGATCTCCAGGCACGAAGTCCAGTACGAGCCCAGCCGGTGAAGGGGTAGACGGACGAGCGCCATAATGACGTCATCATCGCCCTTGGCACTTTTCCCACGGCCGGCATGAAAAGCTCTACGTGACAGCCCCAGGAGCCCGCAAGGCGGTGGGACTAAGCCCCGTGCCCGGCATAGATTACCATCACCACCGACCAATGGAACTGGCGGCACAAGTGCTCGAAAGCATCGCGCTTATAGCGTCGCGCCGGCCCCGATTTAATGTGTGTGTGTGGTTGTCACTTCATCTGCCAGCTCGACATGGGGGCAGCCCCAGGCCACGAAGTTGATGTGGGTCCATACATCGATGCCCTCCGGCAGCTTGGTTCCGTGCTCCGGAAGGTATTTGGAGTTCTCTGCCAAGGCCATGTAGGCCGGCTTGCATCGTTGTCTTCTCCGCCGGCTTGCTGGCGGGTCCGAGACGAAGCACGGCCGCTTTCAGGTTTTTCTAACCTGACATTCCCAACCCATCGATCTTATACAATTTCTGAGTTACCTTCATGGAACACATAGAAGTCGTACTTTTCAACTAGCACGTGGAGTCGAGTCCCACAACCCATTCCAAGATAAACCTAATCCAACTCTTTTGCGGCTACCTCAACATCTTGTGCTGTTGCATCTGACCCGTTCTAGCAGGACCCGTACTACATGCATATAGAACTCCCAAGTAACCCCGCATAACATGCTTTTCAACAAAGCTCTTACTGCTTGACTTTCAATGTGCCCTTGCTCTTGTGGTACTAGACCAATTACATGGTTCATGTCTCACATGCATATATATATATATATATATGCATGTTTAAGTGCAGGCATGCATGCAGGCAGGTGCATACATGTGTGCGTACGAACGTACGTACTTGCCTGCACCCACGAAAACGTGCATGTATGCATGTGTGTATACACACACACTACGCCTATGTACATATGTACCATATCTATCTCTCTCTATATATTTTTTAAAGATTTACCTGCTTATTTATATATATATATATATGTACAATTTCTATTATACATACGGTGTTATTCTAGAATAATATACAAGTGCGCATACTCGTATGTGTTGAACTACTTAAAACTGAACACATGGCTACATGCAGACATTCATGCTTACGCAAATGCGTGTGTATGCTTGCCAGTTAACCGGAAACACCAACCCAAGATCCTGAACTGTCGGTCATCTACATTCGCACCCTTCTAGGTTGGGTTCCTGCTATGGAACTTAATTTAAGTTGCCATAAAAGGGATCTATAGCACAGCAAATTTCCTTATGATAGTAATTTACAGTAAGCCCCTTACTCAAAAAGACGCAGTAAAGCCCAGGTTCCCCGTCAGCCCCTTAATACGAAGGGTACCTGTTTTCCTACCAACCCTAAACCCAAACCCTAAACCCTTTTGGATTTAATAAGGGAAGACCTCCTGGGGAACCTAGAAGCCCGGGAACCTCAGTAGTTCAAAACAACTAGTGATGAAATGCTCTAGGGGTGAGGGTTCAGGGCTACAGGGCCCTACCTAAACCCCCCAAAGTCAGCAAAATATTGGCCCAATGCCTATAAACGGCTATTATTCTACATACTTGTGGGTAGGGCTATAGGGTTCCAGGGATTGGGGATCTAGGGTTTAGGATTTAGGGTTTGGGTTTTTGGGGTTTTGGGTTTCAGGTTTATGTCAACGCACGATTTCAAGCCCGAGAACAATGCAACAGTTTATAGGAACCGTTTTTAAACCATATGCAACCTGACGCAAGCTACTAAAATCTGTGCAAACAGGAAGCAGAACACCTAATCCCACACAAAAACACATGGGTAGTTGTCCAAAATAGGGTCCCATTTTGGTGTCCTTTGAAAAGGGTGCCGTACTCTTTGGGTGGGGGGGGGCCTAAAACGGAACCCCAATGTAGCTAACTACCCACAGTAGCCCTCGTATGATCCGATATCAATATTATTCCCTGGGCTTCCTTACATAAAGGGTTTAGGGTTGAGGGTTTAGGGTTTAGGGTTTAGGGGTTTAGGGTTAGGGCACCAAAGCCCTGTTAAAACCATTAAAGCCCATATGGTCGGATGCAAGGGAAACCTAAGCGACCCGAGTATAGGGCCGTAATAATTCGAGTAGGGTTCTGGCCTTTTTTTTTTTAGTATAGTCAAGATAATAACGGTTTAGGGTTTAGGGTTTAGGGTTTAGGGATAAAGATAGGGATCCGCAAGGAAGAATACTGATAAGACTGGCAATGATTCAGGGTTCTATGGTAAACCCTCAAGCCCGAAACCCCAAAACCCTACACGCTGAGCCCTAAACCCTGAGCACGAACCCCTGAAGCCTAAACCCCTAACCCCGAATCCCAAAGCCCCCAACGTGAACCAACTTCACGATAACGAAGATGCTTTCGCGGCCTGTCTTTCTCGGCATTTCGAAGCTTGGGCTTCGAGTTTGGGCCTCCGGGCCGCACTCAGGGTTTAGGGTTAGGGGTTAAGGTTTTGGGTTGAAGGCTTTGGGTTAAGGTTTAGGGGTTTAGGATTTAAGGTTTAGGGTTAAGGTTTTGGGTTTAGGGCTTAGGATCAAAAATATAGGGTTTTGGGTTAGATGGTTCTTTACGGCTGTAGAACCCTTGAACTAGAGCACCCAGCGGGGCTCAGACCTACTTACAGCCCCAACAAAGCTACTCCTACCCATGAATACTCATGAACCCGTGAACCTCTACAAACCACTGTAGAACTTGTACAGAACCCTAGACCCTAGACCCTGAACCCCTAAACCCTAAACCCCTAAACCCTAAGCCCCCAAACCCCTAAACCCCTAAACCCTAAACCCCAAACCCCTAAACCCTATAGACCCTAAACCCTATAGACCCTAAACCTGCTTCGAAACCCTGAACATTTTTACGAACAGCGCTGAAGCCCTTACGGTCCCCAAAAGGGTAAAAAACCCAAATCCTCGACCCCAAAGCCCCACACCCACCGAATTCGCCGCCGAATCCCAGATCTTAGACCCAAACCCCCACGGGCTGAGGGTCTCTATGGTAGATCCCTTGCATATCCCTTATACAGCCCTTTTCGAACGCATAGAACGCCTGATAGGAACCCACTTTCACAGCACCTTGGTGATAAAGCCCTTTTTATGGAACCCCTTCGAGAAGAATCCTTCTAACAAGACTTATAAACCCTAAACCCCAAAACCCCTAAACCCTAAACCCTAAACCCCTAAACCCTAAACCCTGTCCTGTGGGAGGACCGGCGGTGGAAGCTGTGGACCCTCGCCTGTGCAAAGGGCTCACTGAGAGCCTGGAGCGTTTCACGGCCTTAAGGTCTTGGGCTTAGGGACGCTTTTCAAGAGTTTGTTTACGGTTTAGGGTTTAGGGGTTTAGGGGTTTAGGGTTTAGGGTTTAGGGTTTAGGGTTTGGGGTTTAGGGTTTAGGGTTTAGGGTTCTGCAAGGGAACTGTGGGCTTCTTTGTCTTGAAAGTTTTAGGGGCTTAGTTTTCCTTTTGGCCAAGGGGTCAGGGTTTGGTTTTCTATTTGTTCGTGTAGGCTTCTCTTTGAAGGGTTCAATCAGGGTTGCATCATCGTGCTTGTGAAGTCGCGAAAACTGCCTTGGTCCAGGTAATGAGGGTTTAGGGTTTAGGGTTTAGGGGTCAGGTAATGTACCAAGTCACCGCTAAGATGCCACTACAAGAAGATGTAAACAGCGATTCTCTTTCCTTAAACCCTGAACCCTAAACCTTGTTATGTTCCTTATTGAGTTCTTCAACAGGTCGGCTATTTGGGGTTCAAGTCAATCCCCAACTCTGCACCGTTTCGCTGTCTGGCTAAGGCCTCGTACGTTAGGGCATTCAGGCTCTAAACACCTGCAAAACAGGGTTCAATCCTAAACCCAAAACCCCAAAACCCCAAAACCCTAAAACCCTAAACCCTTCAGGGTTTAGGGGATTGTTGCGATTCGTATGGTTTGGAGTTGAAGGTGTAGGGTTCAAGGTTTCAGGGCAACCCTGCACCCGAAGCCCACTTCTTACAGTTTAGGGTTTAGGGTTTAAGGTGTAGGGTTTGGGGCTTAAGGTTTAGGGGCTCTGAACGCCTGCACGCAACCGAGCAGGATGCCTTTTTCTTGCGAGCGAGGCCTACCACAGAAGCTTTGACGCGAGGCCACGGGCAATGTAGGGCCCCAAAAGAACACACAAGCATGAGGATCTTCACAGTACTGGAGGGCATCGCAAGTACCACTAATTACTCATGGTGACTACAAACAGTTTGGTGGGTTAGTTTGGGACCAGGATTGGGGACGTAGAAGTAAACCCGAAACGCTTTTGAACCCTAAACACTAAACCCTACCTGGGGATCCAAAACCTATATACCGTTTAATGGGTTCTACCCTCTAATTGACATATCCTTACTATTTGGTAGGGTTTGGGCTCACAGGTAGACCCTACATGTTAAATTGGGAGTACACTCTAAGGCACCGTTGGTTTCCGCCTCAAGCTGGGCAGATGGCTGGAATAGCTGGATATACAGTTGAGTACCAGTGTGTAACGTGCCCAGCAAACATGGCAGGTTGTACGACACAGGCTGGTGAGGATACATTCTACCCTAAACCCTAAGCCCCCAAAGCCCTAATCCCTAAACCCAAAACCCCCAAACTCTAAACCCCTAAACCATGAACCCTGAACTGCTTACTTCGCACCAGGAGCCCTCAACCCTCAACCCCGAGGTCTCGAGCATCGAGGGTTGGGTGTTAGATGCCGACCTTCATTGGCTCACCCTCTTTCAAAGGGGTGGCATGGTCGCTGAAAGGCCGGTACTTTGGGGGCAAAGCCCTTCGTGCCGGTGGGGGGGCACAAAGGAACAAACAGTCACGGACTTAGCGTTTAGGATGTAAGGTTTTGGTGGCTACTGTTTTTTTGATGGACCCTGAACCCCAAACCCCTAAACCCCTAAACCCCTAAACCCTAAACCCTAAATACAGTATACAGTTTTCATACGGTGTTTTTAATGCGGTCCTCTCACGTTTCGGGTTTGCGAGCTTTAGGGCTTCTGCACTGAAAAGTACCGGCATGCCGAACCCAGAAGCCCGGTGACCTGTTCAAGAAGGGTTCAGGGTTTAGTGTTTAGGGTTTAGGGGTTTAGGGATTTACGGTTTAGGGATTTAGAGTTTAGGGATTTAGGGTTTATGGGTACGAACTGCAAGTTTCGACATAAGAACAGTAACCGGGCTACCAGGGCAAGCACATGAATTCAAAGGCATGTGGTGGAGGAAGGAGTGCGATCCGAGGGTATGGGCCCATCGAGCCAGGTTCGAGATCTCGATTGAAAGGTTTGGGCGTGGGATAATTTAGCGATTCCAAACGCATTTGCTCGAGGGTTCCATGAGAGGCCTTTACGTTCAAGGCTTGGAGTGAGGGTATATCGCGTAAGGCTTTTGGTACTAGCATCCCCGCCGCAAAATCCTGATTCTAGACTCACCAATGTTCAACAGGAGCCCTATACACAGCTCACGACCTCCTTCTGAAAACCCTACTTCAGATTATGGATTTAAGGATTTCGGTTCAGGTGCACGCTCGAGCATCTCTCGACTGTATGCTGACGGGAGCAAGCAAGGCATGCACTAAGACGTCGATGGCCCAATCTAATTCCGTACCCTTAAGTTTAAGCCTGAAGCCCTAAGCCTTAGCCAAGAATCCCACCCACACCCTAAACATCCAAATCCTGTACCCTGCTTGAAGCTTAGGGCTACAAGGCGGTCAGAGTAGAGACGATCCGGATTCTATACTTACCTTTGGTTAGTAGGGAAT